GATGTCCTTTAATGTTCAGGCCTAAAATGTGCATTTTATGTGTGCAAAAAAAGTGATCAAAAACGCCTCTGGCAGCAAAAGTGTTCTACTTAGTGTGTGCATGAGGTACAGGAGTCCAGTATTTTATTTTATTATGATAAAAGTTTAAAACTAGCATTAAAGAGTAGTACGTACTTGGATCACACTCCAGGTGAGTTAGCAATTCATTCAAAGGTAAGTAAATTGATACATGGTTGTGATTTAAAAGATCTGTACTCGGACATAAAAAATAAAATAGATGTGGGTAGTAATGGCAGACCTAGAGCTGAGTTTAGCATGGCAGAGTAGAGCTGAAGTTAGCAAGGCAGTCCTATTTTTAGATTATGTATTGTGTATCCACTTTAACTCTGAAACATTGCTTTTCTTCTAATTAGAATGATTGTGAGTACTGTCAGTATCATGTGCAAGCTCAGTACAAGAAGGTGAGCGCCAAACGAGCAGACCTGCAGTCAAGTTATTCTGGACACGTTCCTAAGAAAATGGCTAGGGGAGGAAACGGCCTGAAAGATAAATTGTGCCAGAGTGGCTTTCACTATGGTGGTGTGTCCTCTATGGCATATGCAGCTTCAATGTAAGTAGTATTACCTTATCTGTAATTTTAATAAATCCAACATTTAGCTTACTGAATATACACTTGGGTCATTAAAGCAACTTTCTATTCATACAGAGGCTGTTAAAATAAGCTCAGCTCTAGATTGCAGGCATTATAAGGTGTCAGATGGTACCTCCAACTCTGCTGACCTCCCTCTTGTAGTGTCTCTAGACCCCATCCAATAGGTCAGTTGGGCACCAGATGCTGTCTCATTGGGGGAGGGCACATGCCTGCTTACTCCATACCCCCGGAGGTACGAGTTTTCCAAAAGAGACCAATGCCATAGTAATGTTAGATACCATCTGGTCTATAAACCGCTTTTGCCAGACAGCCAATTTTCTTTAAGGACCAGCTCAGGGAGTTAAATTTAAAGCTGAACTCCACATCACGGGTCCTTTTTCTTTATGCTGCAGAATGGTGCTCATAATGACTTTTAAACACTATTCAGTGCAATATTACTCGGGAGTACAGGCTGCATGAAAAGGCCATGACCGTTTGCGGTCAAAGGGGATGGATTGAATGATGTTGGTCAGCATTCAACCCAGGAGACTAGGCGACATCTAGGGCTAGACAAGAATTACTGTGGGGCACAGTTCTAAATTCTAAAGGTCCCCACACACCTTACGATAATCGTGGGAAATCCCGCGATCGTACAATTATCGTAAGGTGTGTGGAAGCCGTGCGACCTCTACTACTGTAAGGTGGCACGACTTTGAAGTTACGGACATGTTGGAAAACCCGCCGAGCATCGTACGACATTCGGCGGGTTTGTGGCATGTCCGTACGATAACAGCCGTACGGGCCGGTGTGCGCAAGCGCACACTGCCCGTTCGGCATTGCGGTCATCGGAAGCCCGCCCCTCAGGGGGCGTGGCTTGCGATCATCGCAAGTACGATCTGCCTATGCAACATAGGCAGATCGTACGTTTTTTTAAGTACCTTACAACCATCGCAAGACAAAAGTCTTGCGATGGTTGTAAGGTGTGTGCCCAACCTAAGGAAGAAGTACTTTTATGTTGATTTCATGCTAAAGTTCTTTGGGAAACATTGAAGTCAAGTCAACCACATCTAGCCATTGCAGCCCCCAAGACTGCATCTGTATGTGGCTTTTGGGAGATTGTGTCTTTGATGAGCTGATGTCGAATTTTCAGCTAAGCATTAGGATTAAAGTAACATTGGAAAACTTGGTGACTAATGCTGATTTAAAGTTTTAAGCAGTCAGTCCAAAATTGATAGTTTGATAGCACACAAAGAAGGAAGGGAACAGCCAAAACTTCCAGGTGGACAAGAACAGAACTAAAAATTATAGCAGGATGATCTTCTGTATGTAGTATTCAAGACATGAGACTGACTTTGCAGCCCCTCAAGGTCAGCACGTTACGAAGTTATAACTTTTGAGTGTACTGGTGAACTGACTCTTAGGCCAGGTTCACAATGCGGTGCTGCAGCAACACACGCAGTACTCCAGTGCTTTATAATATGTAAATTACTTTGAATATGGAAACATTGGTATAAAATACTACTGTATATAACCTTTTGTACATGTCTGTTAACAGTGCAGCAGCCGCAGCACCTAAGAAAAGCATCCAAACGACTCTATCCAAGATGGTAGTTAAAGGAGCAGATGCCATAGCACTGCAAGCAAAACAAAAATTAGGTATTTGACATTTTGATCCCAGTATTGAATTGGTGTTCTTAGGCAATATCTAGAATGACTCACTTTTTTTTGTTCTGCAGCTGCTGCAAGTAAAAACCCTGTGCAGTGCTCAGATGACTTGAAGGAGCTTTTAACTATACCAACTTCAGGAGCCCTGAATCTCAATAAGCATTTGACTGGCATGAAAATGCAAGGTACACAACTCTTCTACATTCACTTGTTTGTTGCATTAGGTGGAAACTTTGTGCTGCATACAAACATTTTCAATGTATCTTAACAACTTTGCTTTAATTTTAAGCAACCAACACTAAACTTGGATCATCTATTCAGTCTCTTTCGGCTTCGGAAATTTTGAAACAGCAGAAACAGCAGTTGTTGGATGTAAGAAAGAGGAGATCGGAGGAAATCCAGAAAAGGTTAATTCCAAGACCATATTGCAAGCTCGATAGTTCACTCGATGTTGCATGACCTATTACATTAAAGCCAAACTATCATTTACAATTAAAATTTGAGTCTAACCCACAGGTTGTAAATATTTAGTATCCCATAGAAGTGGATAAGAGTGTAAACATTGCACTTGTTTTAAGCATTTAGAGGAGAACTATGGGGTCAGGGCTTTTCCCCATAGTTCCCCAGCTGTGAGTGACAGCTGGCTCTGCCCATCTAGAGGCAGAGCCAGATGTACCCTCCCCCGTCTGTTCCGCCAGTCAGCGCTGGAGGATCGGACAGGGGAGGGGGGCAATCCCTGCAGGGAGTCGTGAGTGACAGTGGCGGCTCTCTGCAGGGACAGGATCGAGAAGTGAGCGAGCGACGGTATGTGTTCGCTCACTTCTCGATCTATTGAGCTAACCTGTGACCGTTTCATTGTCACAGGTCGGCTAGAACTAAGGCTGAGTGATTTTCGCTCGCCTCATAGTTCTCATTTAAGGGCATTTGGTTTCAAGGTACACCCCAAATAAAATATTGTTTGTACCTTGTTTAAAAGGGTTGTTGAGAGTAAAATGTACTCTTCACATTACTTAGAGCTGGCATAGAACACTGCAGCTGTCACATGCCAGCTCTATATATCGAGAGCCGAGTCATCACAAACCGCTGACAGCTTCTTCCTGCAGAGAGCAGTGACTGATGGTCACCACTCCCCGCAAGGATTCCCCCTCCCCTCTCTTTTTCTCCAGCGCCGACTGTAGGGACAGGGCAGGCACAGCTGGCTTTGACTCTAGAGAGGCTGAGCCAGCTGTCGGATAGCCGGGTGGATCCCAACAATATTGTCAGGATTTTTCTTTGCTACAGCGCGGCTCTGCACTGCCAGCATAAAGCTTGCAGAATCCCTCTCTATGCTGATTTTGATTCACAGGATACATTAATGTACTCATGTGACCCAAAAGAAATGTAAAGCCAAAAAATGGTTCGACTTTACTTCTCTTAACTATCAGTGATCATAGTCAAAATGTTTGTTTTCCATTTTGTTACTGAATTGCTGTGAAATGAAGACCGTATTGGCAAAAGAAAGCTAAAGGTATTATTGGGGCATCATAAATAATGGCAAAGATCTTGCTGAATAAGCAGGCCCATAGCAGAAATGTACAAATGTCTCCTGTCCATAAGTGGTATAGAGGTGTGAGAGCTGACGTGATTAAAGTGCCAATTTAAAATGACTCGCAGCTAAGTGGCAAATATCATGTGTGGTTGACATTTCATTGTGTCTTCTAAACAAGTGAATCATTTTGTTTTCCTTAGGTTTCTTGAAAGCACAAATAAAACAGAACAGTCCAGTTCAGCTGCAAGTGCTGGGCAGACCGCTTTTCAATCTCCGAAACAAGCTGTGGAGTTCCCCAAAGCCCAGAAGATGTCCACCCCCAAGTTAGGTCGCGGTTTTACAGAGGGAGACGATATTCTCTTCTTTGATGTGTCTCCTCCCTCTGCCTGCAAACTAAGTGCTTCTGCTAAAGCAAAAAAGGTATCCTAGTTCAGAGCAAAAATATGCAAATTCTCAGCCCATGTATAT